CTTCTAAAGAGGAAAAGCTTGATCAAGAAGTTTTGTTCTGTGTCTTTTTCCCACAGACAGTGCCAATTGTACGGGAAAGAAATAAACCTTCTCGTATAATCTTGTTGATCAAGTCTGCGCTCCTCCAAACGTCGTTGCTTTACTCCCTAAAAACACAAACGTGAGCTAGCCGGCGGGTGTGTACCGGAAACCCCTCCGATGCCTAAGTCAGCAAAATAGACAAGTAGGCAAAAAGCTCTGTGTATCAAATAACCAAAGTTGTGTTATCTCTCCATAGGTGATGTTTGTGAGCTTTTATAGGTTTTGCGTGGCACAATCCTAGTAGGACTTTTACTTCTCCATGCAGAGTCCTCCTAGGATTCATACTCCTGAAGGATAATGCTTATCCTTCAACCCCCCCTCACTGCTTAAACCAAGTGAGATGGTTCTTTCATAGCCGACCTACCATACGACCGAAGTAATCACGACTATGCTTAGCCGAACCATACCTAGTTCGGTTCTCTGTCCATAGTTTTCAACAAACCATGTATGCCTAAAACCGAACTATCTTTTATCAAGGTTTAGACCAATCTTGTTTCACTGCGCTATGACCGGTATAAGTTCAAAGCATCCTTAAACCGGTCTAACTACAAAGCGTCCTTCGACCGGACTAACATCAAGAGTCCCTCGGACCGGTCTACCTTCTGGGCTTGAGATCGGGCTAACTTTAAGCCTCTTCAAGACCGGAGTAACTTTATGACCTCTTTACTCAGCCCTTTGTACTGAGGCCCATAAAGGCCCAGCTCGGCCCAATTCGTATATAAATTACCCTCTCAATAATAGTTCATAATCTTAAAAAAATATCATAAATCCTCATACCTAAGGCCACTTAAATTTATAATTAAACATCACAAAATTTCATAACCATAAACACTAAAAAAAGTCTAATAACCAAGTTCATCATAAACACCATGTGTATCAAAGAATTTTTCAACATTTATTTTAATTAACTCTTAAAAATTATTTGTGATATAGTAAGTTTTCAGCTTGGAAAACAAAGTCTTTTGACAGGGCATTCAACATTAAACCTATAGTTCTGAATGTAAGTTTAATATTTCTTTTGTTTCTTTTCTATTTTTGTTGGTAATCAAGTTATCGATAAATCAAGGTGAACTTGCTTTACATCTCATGAAGAATTATTCATTGCTCATATAGTAAATGTTTTCTTTATTTTGATCTTATTTTGCTCTCATGTTTATTTTTCCTTTTGATCTTATTTTGCTCTCATGTTTTATATATTCACTATTGTATTTTTTATCTTCATTTCATTTTTATTTTAGCCACTTGATTTTTTATTTAAAAAAATTCCCCCTTTCCATTTGCATAAAAAAGAATATGAGCAATGAAGCAAAATAGGACTGGTAAGTAGTGGAAAAATTGGGAGTGGAAGGAACTTTGGAGCAGTGGCCAATAATGTAGCTCCTGATAAAAAATAGTACTGCTAGAACTTTTTATTTTAATTTTTTATGGTTTGCTTCAACCATCGGGTCACTTTCTTCCATAAGTTTGGTCACTTTGTTCTCCTAAAATACCTTTTTCTCTATTTATTTGTTCTCCTAAAATACCTTTTTCTCTATTTATTTGTTCTTCTAAAATACCTTTTTCAAACCTTAGAATCATATCTTTCAATTTATTTTTGTTGTGAGTTGGGTGTTGCCTTTCTTGAATTGATCATGACGTGTTTGAAGCTTTTATTTTAGTACTTTTAAACAATAAAGAATCATATCCTTCAATTTATTTATTTGTTGTGAGTGGGTATTCGATGATCACATAGTTTTTTTTTCCTCCTAAAATACCTTTTTCTCTATTTATTTGTTCTTCTAAAATACCTTTTTCAAACCTTAGAATCATATCTTTCAATTTATTTTTGTTGTGAGTTGGGTGTTGCCTTTCTTGAATTGATCATGACGTGTTTGAAGCTTTTATTTTAGTACTTTTAAACAATAAAGAATCATATCCTTCAATTTATTTATTTGTTGTGAGTGGGTATTCGATGATCACATAGTTTTTTTTTCCTCCTAAAATACATTTTTCTCTATTCATTTGTTCTCATAAAATACCTTTTTCAAACCTTAGAATCATATCCTTCAATTTATTTTTGTTGTGAGTTGGGTGTTGCCTTTCTTGAATTGATCATGACGTGTTTGAAGCTTTTTGGTGTTATGCTCCTTTTTTATTTTCTTTTTTGTGTTTTTGTATTTTCTTTTGTATTTTGGTGCATTGTTGCCAATAAAATCTCACAGAACCATGCAAAGGGACTCAAGATTCTGGGTTCAAAACACCACTTCAAGTTTTTCTTAATGCTTCTTGAGGACTTTTCTATAAATTAGTTTAAGCAATATGAGAACTTTCTTTAAGGTAATCCAATGTCAACACTCATTAACTTAGTTTAGAGTGCACATTATACATAGAGGCAAATTTAGATAAACAAGACAATAAGATTGACATATTTTTATAGGGATATTCAGGTGTTAAACCACCGAAGTAATAAGAACTCAATTGGTAGAAGATTTATAAATTACTTGAGTAGTGTTATTATATTAATTAGTTTTACAAGTGTACAATAGCTTTGATTTTTTCTTAATTGCATAATAGTATTTCTTCCATAATGTTCACCAATATTACAAGTCAAAATAGTGAAATGTAGAGTAAAAACACATATAAAACAAATATTATATAAAAAAACATATAATGCAAAATTGTGCTTCCCTTTCGGAATCAACAGTGGTGGCGACAAAGTGGAACTGTGCTTTCCTTTCACTTTTTCCAGCAGGTTTCAATATTGTGTTTGTTACTCTAAATCAATATTTGCAGATATATGTAATTATACAATCAATTTTATTGATGAAGGCACAATCTTGAATTTATTTTTGTTGACTTTGGTGTTAAAGTAACTCCCATGGTCCATATTGAAACACCTTTAGCCTTTTTCACATAGTCCATGTTTAGGAATCTATTATGTTTTTCCTGTGTATAATACAAATATTACAAATAGCCAAGTAATTTTGAGAAATAAATAAATTGAACCAACCTTATCAACTATGACAGTTGATAGTGATCACCTACGAATCCTCATTTTCCTTCTTTAACTCCAACGACACAAACCAAGTCAAAGAAAACAATCTCAAAAGAAAGAAAATAAAATTGGTAGTGGTTGACAATTATCCTTTCACCTTTTTTCCTTTGTTGTTTTATGATTGATTTTCAGATAAACTATTAATTTTGAGGAAAGATCAGTTATTGTTTGTATATTTAACAATACATATAAGGTGTTTGAAAAAATGCATGTGAGAGATAAAAATTGGTAGTAGTGGCTGTTGGATTTTAACTGGTTCTGGAAGGTGCATGTCAATTAATTTTTTCTTTATTGTTTAAAAGTACTAAAATAAACTTTGAAGGATAAAATTTTTATTTTCATTTATACTTTGACAACATTATTAATTTTTTTACATTTATCTAATATTGATTAACATAAGATTGTAAGTGTACTGTAATTAAGCTTTTAGCAAAATTTGTTATAATTTTTTATATCAATCGTCCTTTTTTTTTTTTTGGTAAAAGCGGAGGTCCATAAAACAATTTTTATAAGCTTTTAACATAAGACAATTTTTGTTCTATTTTGATTGTGAACGCTTAGTGGTAAATTTTCACTAATAGGTAGGATTCGCTGATTAAGTGTTTAAAAAGAATAATGTACTCGAAATTCCTTCAAGCTTATTCTTCTTTTTGATTATTCCCACCCATGCATGTGCAGCAATCAAAACCTTAGTTTAAGATTTAGTTCACTCTAATTTCTGTAGCATAGCATCTACAAAAGATATAGTATGCAATAGTGAGCAAGAATACTGACCATGGAGAAGTTTCAGATTGCTATGTAAAACCAAACGAGATTTCTGTTTTTAGAGTCTGTGTTCAATAATATGATTCTTTTGTGGTTTCTCATCCTTTGCTTTAATGATTTCAAGTGTAATGGGGGCACAGGGTAAGCAATCTTGCAGAATGTTAATAGTATAACGTTTAAGCAAAAGAATCTTTACTCTAACGTGTTTCAATAACCTATCTGTTTTGGGTCCAGCAAGTATATTTCCATCATGGATGGAGGTTTATTCTTTTCTTTCAATAATCTTTACTGTAATATGTTTCAATAATCTTTACTCTAATATGTTTCAATAATCTTTGCTCTAATTTTTGGATATCTTTTGTTTTAATAGTTTTTAATTTCCAGCAGATTGACAATAGGTTTGTCCAATCTAATTGCTTTATTGATGTTTACAATTTGTGATTGAAACATACTCTAATTTTTTGATATCTTTTGTTTCAATAATCTTTAATTTCTAGTAGGTTTGTTAATTTTCAGCAGGTTTGACAACAGGTTTGTCCAATTTAATTGCTTTATTGATGTTTACAGTTTGTGATTAGGTTTAATATTTGATCAGGTGTGTCCAATACATTGTGTCTGAAGCATTGTGTTTGCTTAATAGGCTCACATTTGGCAGCTTGAGGACTTCCTTAAGACCTTTCATATCGAAACATTGTGGTAAATATTTGATTTGTATTCTTACTTAAGCAATGATTGATCATTGTTATTTTGTGATTATTTCTTTGGTTGGTTGTGTTGGAAATTTATAAGTATGGTTTTTTTAAAAAAAATTCTTACAATTATCATTATTTGGGTTTATTAAAATCAAATTGGGGTGGGTGAGGTAGGGGGGAGCAAGAAAGAATGAATGATTTAAGAAATCAACTATAGATATATATATTTTTAACATTTTGTCTTAGTTAAATCTAAACCACATTTCATTTTTCTATTTCAACGAATAGGCTCTTAACAAAATAATTCATGAGTTAATTGGTTTGAATTTGTAGTATCATATTGTTCAAGCTTTAATTAATCTCATTACCAAAAGTCTTTGTATTTTCTTGGAATTCTCTAATTGGTTGTTGAGAGTTTCATTGTTCTAGGTTAGTTTAACTGGATATCTTTATGTATTCAAATTCAAATTATTATTTACTAAATTTGATATTTTAAATTGAAGTGGATCATAATTGATAGGTTTTATTGTGAGAGACAATAAATTTGACGAAAATGGGTTAGACAGAGATGAGAATTGATGAACCATTATGAGATACAGAGAGGTTGGTTTCTAATTGTTGAACCATTTGATGGGACCTTTTTTTTAGAGAAAGAAATAGAGCTTTAATTTCTATGTTGTTTAATTTGTATATAAATATTCACTCAATAGGTTATCCTGCCATGTATAGGACACAAAACAATATTCACTGAATTTAATTTAATATTCACTCAGTTTGTTATCCTGCCTATTGAGTTGATTTTTGGATTCTATGATTTTGTCAAAGATCATTTACTCCACTTAGTAACCCAATAGATGCCGAGCGGGTGGATCAAGTGCTACTAGGAGCACATCCTCCTTATTGCTCCTTTGCTAGGAGGAAATGTAGCATCACCCGTAAACTGAGACAACTCTTCTTAAAGCTGGTTAATATTTTAAACTTGGTCTCTAAACATAATGATAGTCTCTTTGTTCTTGGTGTTATTTATTCTAATTTTATATTTCTATTACGCTTTTAATATATTAGTCTTCGCAGGACATAGCATTAGAACAATATTTTCTAATTTTATATTTCTATTATGGTTTCAACATTATGGTTTCAAGACATAACTTTAGAATAATCAAGCCTAGCCTCATAATTAAATGATGTTGCCAATGGGTTTAGTAGTAGAACCAATATTTTGGCTTGGGGGCAACATTAAGAAAAAACCTAAGTTTATATTGCCAATGGGTAGAGTGGCAAAAATAATATTTTGGCTTGACAAAGTTTTGCCCAGTTTCACAGGCTTATTACTCACTCAGTTGTGTAGTTATAAATTATAATTAAAAAAATCACATATCTATCTTTACGGTTAATTTTACATTTGATCAATTAATTGGTTTAAGGATTCCCGGTGGCAAAAAATATATTAGGGAAACTGCATACGTATCAATTTACTTACTAATTGATAGTTGTAAAAAGCATGCATTTATCTATTCTCTCTCAAATTGGTTCCTCTATAAAACATGCATTGGTACCATTTCGTCAACAAAAATAATTTTGCTTACGTATGTAAGGTTGTGTTTGAGTCATAATAACTTTATATTTCTCTCATTTTTTCTTTTTCCTTTTTGAATTTGCTCCCCGGTTCAACTAAGAAGACTTCTATACAAGAGTTATCATTTTATTGGTAGGTTTCACTATGTAAAACCTATGTAAACTTCTCTCTTACATTCATGTTTAGAATCTTCGCTCGATGCTATTTTTCATGTGTGTTTCAGCCAATGATGGGGTCAGAAGTATGCTTACCACTGATATATTCAGAGCTATTAGAGAAGTACATGAATTTTGTGCTGAAAGAAGGGCATTAATTACAAAACAAATTGAAAGAAGATTATTTGTTGCTATGACAATGTTCAAACCAAACCAAATTAAACCAAGCCTTTAGTCCCATTGCTATGACAATGTCATTGCAAAAAATTGTGAAACATGCAATTATAACTCTTAAACATGGGTTTGTTGAGTTTTTTTGGTATTGTTCAAATTGAAACCGTAAAATCATCTGATTCAATAATATTATATTAAGCTATTCATGCATTTGTTATTGTTCTTCAAATTATTTTTATTACTGCAATGAGTTCATTTTGTTGTCAAATTAAAGTTACTTTTAAAGAATCATTTTGTTGATTTCTCATATGTATTTTCATATCATTTTGTTGATTTCTCATAGCTATTGGTTTTTTAAAGTGAATTTAAGCGAGTGATTTTGTTGTAGGTGGCTGATCCGTATTGGAAACATTGGGTTATGTTGCTTCTCTTTATGTGTGTAGTTGGTTGGCTCTCATTCTAAACCAGATGGTTAATTATTATTATTTTTAGTTAGATAGGATGATTACTCTTTTGTACCAAATATTCGTTCACCTTTTCTTGAAGGTATTGAAATTTGATAAATGTGAGCTTTTATAGGTTTCATGTGGCACAATCCTAGTAGGACTTCTACTCCTCCATGCAGAGTCCTCCTAGGATTCATACTCATGTAGGATAAAGCTTATCCTTTAATACCCCCCACTGCTTAAACCAAGTGGGATGGTTTTTACCATGGCCAAACTATCATATGACCGAAATAAAACTGGCTATGCTGAGCCACTGAGTAGGCCGAACTATCCTTAATTCGGTTCTTCTTTTTTACTCCTTCTTATCTCGGTTCTCTCCTGTTCAACCCATGGTGTATTTAGACCGAGCTACCAAGTAGCAAGGTTCTGACCGTTCTAACCACAATACGTCATGACCGGACTAACTCTGAGACCGGCCTAACTCCAAGTCGCTTCCGAACCGGAGTAACTTTATCTCTCTTGGGTCGGAGTAACTTTATCTCTCTTGGGACGGAGTAACTTTTCGGCCTTTTTACCCAGCCCTTCGTACTTTGGGCTATAAAGTCCATCTCATAGCTCGGCCCAATTTATATACATAAATTACCCTCTCATATATATATATATATAGAGAGAGAGAGAGAGATGTCAATGTAATCTATGTATGTATCTATCTATGTATCTCATATTTTTTGCAAGTAGGAGGGAGTAGAAATACACATATAGATCCAACCCATAAATCTTTGTGGGAAGTTCATAGCATAAAGAGAACAGCAACAATGTAGTCCCAATGTGCTGTTGCCATATTAATCTACATTAATCATTCAATGTAAGCCTAAATTTCCTTTCTTTAGAGCAACTCGGGATGGTAATAGGAAGGATCAAGTATACCAGCGTACAAGTAGAGAACTTGTGCGAGAGAAACAAAGAAGCTTGTAGAGAGAGAAAATGAGGAGGAACACAAGAAGATGAGAGAGAGGGGAAGGGAGGTAGGGTTGTAGTTTTAGAGACTTATTAGGGTGTTTTGTTCTGAACAAAATCTCATATACATAATGGGCTTGTTTGGTTTGTTTTTGGGAGAGTTGTTTTTGAAAAAAATTTGGAAGAGTTGTTTTAAAAAAAAATTTGGTTTGTTTGGTTGTATATGTTAAGAGATAAATTTTTTGTGGGAGTTTGGGATGATTTAATATTTTGGAAGAATTTAGTAGGTGTGTGTGAGAGAAAAAGTGATTGAGAAAGAGAAAGGAGAGAGAAAAGGTGATTGATTGATGTGTAAGAGAGAAAAAGTGATTTTAGAAATTTTTTGAGAAAAATCTCAAACCAAACAATTTTTGAGAAATTTTTTTCTAAAACTCATCTTTCAAATTCAAACAAAACAAGCCCAATAACTTTTAACAAATGCGCGCGAATTACACTTTTGGTCAGTTCTGACAAATATTATGACTGTGCATTTCAATTCAGTAATCATGGGATTATGTGGTGATTTTTAAATGTCAGGAGATAATCTGCATTCGGCCTAAACCACAAGGGTTAAAGTGAAGTTTGCTGTTTATAATTTATTGATTATTTTAATTAATATCTAATTCATTATTTCTTATGAAATTTATTACAATTATTTCGTTTTGACCAAAAAAAAAATTCAAAAAATCATTTTTCGCATTACTTTCTCTTAATCTTAAATTATTAGGTAAATTACACTAATACTCCCTAAACTTTCTATTTAATACAGATTCTCCCTTCATATTTGAAAAATTGCATTCTCCTCCCTGAGATTTATAACCTCATTACGAATTGCCTCATGGATTACTGATGTCACATCCTAAAATTTTCTAAATAAGCATCTTGCCCTTTTTATGATTTTTTTTTGTATAAATTTTTACATATTTTTATTTTCACCATTATATATAGATTAGATCAATTTAATCTAGATATATTTAAAAAGTATAAAATTTGTACAAGATTTTATTTTTAAAAAAAATTATTGAATACAATAAAATAAGATAATGTATTGAATTTTTTGAATTTTTCTTTTGGTGAATTTAAAAAAAAAAATCACAAAATATTATACTTCTTAAGTGTATCTAAATTAGGTGTATCTAAAAAAAAATACTTAAAATATTAAAAAAATTCTGTAAAAATAAAAAATAAAAAACTCGATTTTTTGTGTGAGTTAAACTAAAGAAAACGATTGTTATTTCTCTTGAAATGACATGAGCAAAATATCTATATTATTTTATTATTTTATATGTATAAAGGCTAAAGGGCAAATATGTCATTTGAATCTGACAAGGGTGTTAATGTAATTTTTCAAACGTGAAGGGAGATCTATATTAAATAGAAATCTCAAGGGTGTCAGTGTAATTTTCCCTAAATTATTTGTTATTTTTATTAGTTGCGATGTTTCAAAAAATCATTTATATATTTTAATTTATTATCTTTTTAACAATTTTGAAAATTTTATTTACAATAACTAATTAAGAGTATTTGATATTTGATAGGATAAAAACAAAAAATTAATATTAATTATTTTACCAAATACAAATTTATTTTGAACCAAAAATAAAAAAATAAAAAGGAAAATGTCTCGTAGCTCAAATTTTGTGGCTCAAAAGTGGCTCAAATGGCCAAAACGACCCTATTTAGCAACCATGTTGTCATCCTACCATCACCATTATTATCACCATACAACATACAAAAATTTAAAATTTAAAATTTATGTTTTTACACTTACCATAGTACTAGAGATATTCTTATCTTTACATCCCACCCAATCTTTCAAAACCTATTAACCCTACCCCACCTACAACCGCCACCTTCGATAACCAGTTGTTGCTATCTCCGGCTATCAATCACCAGCCTCTCCCTTACTATCGAATAGTTTGAAAAGTTGATTTTGGTGGATTAAGGGTTAAAATAGTTACAAAAAAATAAAATAAACTATTTTAGTCAAATAAAATAAAACCATAATCATTACACTCTTCTTTTACAAAAAAAGTCAAAAAGTCCTTCCCAAACCAAACTTTTTAGCCCCAGGCTAAAATGGCCAAAAAATCAAAAAATCAAAAAGTCAACCCACTTCTCAAACGGAGGCTATAACCTCTTTCTCTAACCTCTCCCTTCATCGCTGCAACCTATTTCCACCCCTTCATAACTATCACCTCTAACTATTATGACCCCACTACCCTATTGCAATTCCCTCTTTAACCCATTGCTTTCCATCGTAACTCTCTTTTTAATCGCCTTTTTCCATCATAATTTTCTTTCTCAACTCCCCAGATTGTTGTGACCCCTCATTCTACCACAAACCTTGCCACCCCAGGCGTAAGAGATAGAGAGGGAAAGAATAGATTAGTGGATGTTTGGGATTTGGTTATTTCATTTTTGCGTATGTGTGTATGTGCTCGCGCGCACGTTTATTTTAGTCTTTAGTGATTTTTTTTTTTAAATTCAAAAATTTTTAGGTTTTTAGATTTAGCTTAACAAGATGAATCGAAAATTTTAATTTTTTTAATAAAAAGTCTGAAAAAGACAAAAACAAGTAAAAAAATAGTGAACCTTTTCAGCTTATTTTGGTTTTCCCAAATTTTTTTTTAGAATTTTTTAGGAAAAAAATTACTTTTTATATTCATTGCACAACAGACTAAAAAAAATTGACATAATTTTATAAAAAAAAAATCACTAAAGACAAAAAAAAAAGTGATTTTTTTTTTTAATGACATTCCAAACACCAGGAAGTGGCACCGGCGATATAGTTGGGCAACAATGGTAGTAGCAGATAGAAATGCTGGTGAAAGGATGGATAGGTTGAGAAATTAGAGTTTATACTTTTTATATTCATTGCACAACAGACTAAAAAAAATTGACATAATTTTATAAAAAAAATCACTAAAGACAAAAAAAAAGTGATTTTTTTTTTTTAATGACATTCCAAACACCAGGAAGTGGCACCGGCGATATAGTTGGGCAACAATGGTAGTAGCAGATAGAAATGCTGGTGAAAGGATGGATAGGTTGAGAAATTAGAGTTTAAGGCCCCATTTGTTTTCAGAAGTATAATGGAGGGGATTTATAGTGAGAAGATTAAGTAAAATTACATTTGCTTTGATGATAGTTATTAGTGTAGGGATTGTTACATTATTTTTATATAAAGTAAATATAAAATAATAAAACAAATAAAAAATACAAAAAACATTAATTAACCATTAATGTTCAAAAAAAAAAATGCCCAACATGTAAAAAATAAAAAATAAAACAAATAAAACAATGATTTTTACTTAACAAAAAATACAAAAAAATTCACTATGCTTGGTTATCATTTTTCAAAAACACTTTTCAAAAAATTATATTTTCTTATTTTCAGTGTTTTTTTATTTTTACTGAATTTTTTTAATATTTTGAGCAATTTTTTTAATTTTTAGACATACCTAACATAAATATACCTAAAAAGTAAATTTTTTTTGGAAAAAACCTTTTAAAAATTTACTAAATACCAAAAATACAAAAAAAAAAGAGAATTCAGTACATTTTTTGTATTTTTATGTATTTATTAATTTTTAAAAATATTTTTTTACAAATTTTTTACTTTTTAGATTTATCTAAGTAAGGTGCATCTAAAAAAGTAAAAAAAAATGTTTAAAATTTTAAAAATATTCACTAAAAACAAAAAAATACGAAAATCAAAAAACTCAATTTTCAAAAAACTTAATTCAAAAAACTCAAACCAAACTA